ACAGGGCTTTCGAGCCTGCTCATTTAAAGGATGCAGAAAAAGAGATCACGTGATGTGTTCAAGTTTATACCACAGACTAGAGACAAAACAAAGATGAATGCCTGCTGTGTAAATTCAATGTTTATACTTGCATCTTGACCAAAGAAGAAAGGATCAGAATATTAATTTGTAAACATCTAGAATATTTCTTAAGGGTTTATAGTTTAAACAATCTTATCTTATTTAGTGCTTATTGTAATACTGTAAGGAAAGAAAGCCATGGCCCTCTCTTTTGCAGCTGGGCAAACTAAGACTCCAGAAGGTGAGGGACTTGCCCAAGACCACACATCTTTCTGTGGCCACAGAGCTGAGACTGGAGCTTGTGTCTTCTGAGCCCAGGTCCGAATAAGAAGTTGTATCATAAATCTATCATGCTTTGTAAACGTTTTCCAGACCTGGACACGTGTGTGTGTCCACATATTCCCAGACAAATTCTTGGCAGACTTTTGCATAGCTTGATCAGCAGTTTAGATGCTGTAAAGCCCTTTGTGCCATTAAATCAGGAAAATGGATATAAGTTGATACACGAATGCTTGGCTGGCAGCTGACTTTAGTACATTGTTGTATACCATGTTGTTATAAAGTGTGTTCTAAGACAGGGCTTCTTAAACTCTATATAATGAAGGAGTAGTTGTTTGTTTGTTTCTAATTTCCGTCTGTCCTGGACCAATAATTTTGATAATACGATTAAAAAAAAGTATTACTAGAACAATAATCACAGAATGCTGTAGCAATGTCAAATTTTCTAATTGCTTATTCTCAATTGTCTGATCTTGTTGTAACAGTTCATGGACCAGCATGAATCCTGCAACCACATTTTGAGAGATACTGTTTCAAGCAACGCCATTCCTGAGAGAAATTCCCTGAATAGTTACCTAATCAAATAAATTCAGGAGACCCCGTAAGCTAGAAAGTATCGGTGCACATTAGCATGTTAAAGCTCTGAGAAGTCCTGTATTGAAGAAGTTTGTTTAATCATTAACTCGGCATTTCCCATATTGGCTCAAAACTCATTGTTCAAGGAGCACCTTTCAACATCCTGCAGAATTCATATTTCTTGAAATACCCTTGGATCTGTCCTGTCGACTCTGGGCAAAGAATAGGCCCCAGGCTTGCCTGAAATGACAGCTTCTGTCCTTCGCTCACGTCCTCATGCATTGCCTTTTTTTTTTAATTCTCTGTAATCTTTTATTCTTGTGGTGCATAAAATCATGTTCTGCCTTTTACCATTTTCCATGCCTGCTTCTGTCTTCCATAGTACTGACTATAGGTGACCTCACCCCCAGGGAAGTTCAAAGTCACCTAAGACAGCCCACTACACTTGGCCGCTGCATCCTGCAAACATATCTGCTTGTCCACCCTCACGGAGGTGACTCTTGATGAGTCTTCTTCCTCTTCAGTACTACCTTTCTAGTGCAATAGCAATCCTCTTCCCTTTAGTCTAGTTCTATAATAACCACTTCTCTATTGTTAATGAAAAGTGTACACCCACACAAAAAGTATGACTTTTGCATAAAACACATGCAATGTTTTTCCCTAAGCAGCAGCTCCTCTTGTCAGGCTCTGCTCCCACTCCCTCTGTCTTTGTCTGTCTCTCTGTGTCTCTCCCTCCCTTGCACACTTGTATGGACTCTCATGACTTCCAGTTGGGAGTTTCCTACCCCATAATGGGTAATCTCTACCCTGAAATGAATCCCATAGAAATGCCAAAGCATTGCTCTTATTCATATTCTCTTAACAGGTCTTGCAACTATAATTCTAAACAGGCCTCTAGAAACCATGATTTTATTTCTGTGAGTTGCTTCTCCTAGTCTCCCTGTTGAGGTCACTCAGTGACCCTCAACAAGCTTTAGTCCACTCTTCATTCTACAGGTATCTCTGCTTTCTTATTCAGTCATTCCTACTTCTGCACGAAGTTCTCTCCAGATATAACCACACACGTCGAGTCCCAGACACCCCAACCAGTACGCAGATGGGTATTGACGTCCCCTGGTAGCCAGGCACTATGCTAGCATGCCCTGGAGAGATAGAATGAGTCAGCCAGGTCCTCGCTGCAAGAGAACCCCACTTCCCAGGTTCTGACACGGTGACGCCTGCAATGCTTGAGAGCTCAGGGCAGGAACTTCCAAACTGCATTTCCCCAACATTAGTATTGTATGAGACATTAATAGACAGTCTCTACCAAGCAAGGTTCTGGAATTAAATAAATTTGGGAAACATAATTTTATGTGCTAACACATTATGCATTTTGAAGAGAAGGCTATAAATAGGTTTTTCTAAATGTACCTGGGCTGCAAACCATCTTTTCAAGTAATTCTTATTTGAGACAATACCATGCCTCTGACACCATTTGGGAAATGCTGGCTCTGGGGTTGCTTCAGCCCACACAGTCCTGCCAGTTGCTAAGGACCATACTGAAGTCATTCAGATATCCTGGTTAGGTAGGAAACGGACATCTCTTTGTGATTTCCCTTAGTCCTGCCTTGTGAATGTTAAATAAGCTGAGTCTGCACCTGATGCTCAGTTCTTTATTTTCCCTTAGGTATGTGTTCTGTGTAATTTACCATGTGGAGCCCTAGTGACTTCCCAGTCTACGTTCCTAGCCCAGCCCTCTCCCATGAGCTCCACGCCCCACATAGCCTGCCGTCTGCTGGACAGCTACCTACCAGGGATCTTTAACAGAATGTCCAACAAGCATTTCAAGTGCAGTTTGTCCCACAGAGAAGTGATTACTGCTCTCATAAAACTCATTTCTCCATCTGCATTCCCTAATGGCCCCATTACTGCCATCCAGTAAGAAACCTGGGAGATGCGCTGAACTCCATCCTCCCAGCCAGGTTGTCGTTTTTCATTCCTCTTGATTCTACCTTCCAAGAAGCTCTTACATTTGCTCCCTATTTTCCATCTTCAACAGCCATTGTCTAGTTTGGGGTCCTCATTACACTGGTTTTCTAATTGGCTTCTGTCTTAGATCAGGTTTTCTGAGAAACAGACTCTGAGTTTCTGAGACTTGCATGCAGAAAGGTTATTGAGGAGGACTATGAAGATTAGCGCCTGTTGGGGAGAGTGGAGGAAGTAAGACCAGGCAGGTGGAGAAGCTGAACTTTGATGTAGGTACTCTGGAACTGGATAACCCTTCAGAGTTGTTCCAACCTGATGCAAGGGAGACTTAAACCAATACATTCCCACTGTCTTCAACCTCCACCCTCTATACCCCTACCCCCTACTCCCCCCACCCCCCGACTGGATGTAGGCATCCCCCCACCCCACCCCAGGGTGGCATAACCTTTGGCCAAGGGCTATTCCCAGAATGGGCCTCAGCTGAGAGCCACCGGTCTCTTCCAACAGGTACAAGAATGAGTGCCTTAGTCCTGAGGGGGTGTGGGTGGCACACCACAGCGTGCTGGTGCCTAATTTTGCTGCTTTCCAGTTCATCCCCCACAACACCACCAGAGGGGTTTTTCTAAATCCACATTTAATCACACAACACCCTTACTCAAGACCTTACTTACAAGACAATTCAGATCTGATCTCTACTTGTGAAGCCTTGTCCCCGACAGCTTTCCTCCCTGCATGCACTCTTGCCCACCACCATGTGCTACGATTCATCAGTCCTTCACAACGGCTGCTCCCCTGCTGCGAATGAGCTTTTCCCACTTCTCTCACTAGCAAACTCCATGCATCCTTTAGGGCCTGGAGTAAGCACCCCTCTTCTGAGATGCCTTCCTTAATATCCTTAAGCGGAGATCATTTCCTGTATACTCTTCTTATACTCTTACAGTTATTTGCTTATGTAACCACTAACCTGTTTAAGAGAAAAGCTTGTGTTATATTCATTTTTGAATGTAAGTGAATGAATCAACCAGCCTTGTGCATCAGTATTATATAAAGCTGTGTCTACATGGGCTTGTAGACTTGACTTCAGTCTAGTCAGCTTTTTTTTTCCCAGGGACTTAATCTATTTGCCAGTGAAGGCTGTAGGTCCCTGAGGGGAGGGGCTCCATCTGGGGACTCTCACCTATTTCAGTATATATAGCTCAGTGCTCTGAGGGAGCTGGACATTTAATAAATCTTTCCCATTATGTTGATGCTTTCCATCCTGGTGGGGATAGGACATAGCCAGTGATCTATGGGATATCTTATAAAAGGTACCAGAAGACTTGACTGGCCTAAAAATCTCTCTTTTGTGACTGAGGGCTACACTCATGTCCATTCTGAAATTCTTACTCTTATATTTCCTGATATATTGGACCTGTAGTCCCGTGGAGTGAGGTGAATGCACTCTGGGACCTGGGCAAGCTGATGCACCTAAGGTAGAGAATTTCTATGTCTATTCATTTTATTTTACACCTTTACAAATGTCTCTATTTTGTGTATGCTTTATAACGCCCGTAATACAGTGGTACAGTAACACACGCATATCCCTTATAAAGAAGTAAAGAGCGTAACACTCAAAATATTTTTTACTAGTAGCCCATGATTAAAAACCTGGGAGATCCCTAGATTGGATTCTGCAGACTGGAGGCTTTTTCAGCTTTTAGCCATTAGCTTTTCAGCTGCTCTGATTGCTGAGCTAATTTGTGCTAATGGGCACCTAAGGCCTTAGGGGAACTCTGAAATTCAAGATGCGGAACAGCTAGGAATGAAAAGTAGGGGCGGGCAGAAGAGGAGGGCTACCTGGGGAAAGCACAGAGGCTGCATCGAGCCAGAGCTGGTGGACCGTCTAGTAAGGAATTGAGAACCTGGAATACAAAAAGGCAGGAGGGCAGAACTCCACCTCCTCCTCATTCTCCATGCTTTTGTTACACTTCCCTCCCAGCCTAGAATGGACGGCACTAAAATCAGAGGTCAGCAGACAGAAAGTGACCAAGAGGAATGCCAAACAAATTTTACGGGCTGTGCCTTTCTGCTCTCAATTCTTCCAGGCAGTCTGTTCTAATACCCTCTGTGTTTCTCTGCAGCATGCAAAAGGAAAGAGCAAGAACACGGGAAGGACAGAGGCAACACACCCAAAAAGCCCAGGCTGGTCTTCACAGATGTCCAGCGTCGAACTCTCCACGCAATATTCAAGGAAAATAAGCGTCCATCCAAAGAATTGCAAATCACCATTTCCCAGCAGCTGGGCTTGGAGCTGAGCACCGTCAGCAACTTCTTCATGAACGCGAGGAGGAGGAGTCTGGACAAGTGGCAGGACGAGGGCAGCTCCAATTCCGGCAACTCATCGTCTTCATCAAGCACTTGTACCAAAGCATGAAGAAATAACCACGAACTGAAACCTCGGTGGAAAAGCTTTAAATTAAAAAAAAAATTTTAAAGACCAGGACCTCAAGATAGCAGGTTTATACTTAGAAATATTTGAAGAAAACAAAGTGTTATTTATAGTCCAAAGAAACCAAAGACTTAGCTCACCTGCATTCTGACTTTGTTTGGAGACACACACTTCAGCCGGGCGACGACTTGGCAAGAAAAATTATGAGCGGGAAAGCACCACTGGATCGTACACCTTCAGTCCATGATCATCCTCGCTGTGCTCGGCTGTTTCGTGGTTTGGAGCATAGTAATTTTGAGCCATTGGGTGGACATCTTTAAGATCGACTTTCTCATCCGTTCCACCACGCCACGAAGGTGTATGGTGTCTCAGTACTGTGTGTGGGTGCGTGCGTGCAACACACACACACACACACACACACACACCACCACCACCACCACCACCACCACCAGTGGTTAGGGACTTAGGCAGGGCTGGTCTTCAGGAAGGGTTGTGTTGTAGGAGTACAACCAACATGGTGCGGGGTTGTCTGAGTTCAATGGATTAGCAGTGTGATTTTGCTCATCTAGCCTAGTGTTTGAACCTGCCAGGCCCGCAACCTATGTGCAGATTCAAATCCAGCAGAGAAATTTGAATGACACCTAAACCAGTGCATTCTCTTTGTTTGTTAAGGAATGTTCAGATATTTTTTAAGAAATGAAACAAGAGTCCATCCATTAAAAAAGGAAAATCACCTAGGTACCAAAGAACACACTTAATATTATAGTGCAGGTATTTTATTGCAATGATTTTAATAACCAAAGCTATTTTTACACAAGATACTATGTAAAGTTATACGTATGAACTGACCTAGCGGTAATACACATGCCACATAGAATCATGACTATTATTTATGACTCTTGGAGCATTTGAAATATTAGTTTTCAGAACTGGCAAGAAAGAATGTAGCTTCAGGGAAGCAATTAGTATCGTCACAGAGAGGTCGATGCAGCAGACGTGTACATCCAGATGGCACACCCCTTTTCGGAATCTACAGATGTCACTTAAGTAAACATAGAGACATAAGTTCATAATCTATCCATAGCTAAGAAAACCTGAGGGTTCTTCCGAGGCAGGACCCCCTTGTAAACTTAGAAAATGAAGTTTCACAGGGCAGGTAACTAAATTACAAAATTTGTTCGAAGTAATGCTTTTTAGTAAAAGTCCACTGCATAAAGGACTCCATACTTAGGTTAATTTGACTTAAATCTGCTTTATGCCTTTGACACCAAATACCTGTTTAAAACACTTGACACACACACAGAATAAGCAGACCAACATTATTTTTAAAATAAACTATCCAGTATTTGTCATCATCCTGAAAATGTAATCAGACTGATTTTATTGCCAATCCCAGACATTTTGTGACTTGGACACCAATTAAAAAAAAATAGCAGGTTCAGTGGAGACATGGTGGAACTGCATAGAAAAAGCAAAAGTACCAGTGGAAGACAAGACCTTGGATTCCATAGGGATTAAGCTCTTTACTTCACTGAGCGTAGCCTCCGAAGCATACTACATTCTTTCTTGCTGCTGCAGTTAAGCTGGAAGTTTTATAACACAGAGTCCACTCTCTAACAGGGACAGATTAAAAACTAGACCTGAACTTTCAAATACAAAATTTTAAAATTCTATTTTTCCAAATCACTTAACCAGGGCTATAGAAATCAAGGCCAAAAAAAAAAGATAATACAGTTGTGCTACTAGTACCCAAGTGAATCACTGGATTCCCAGAAAAATTCTCTCTGAATTCAATTGAACTGTAACTCATGCCTTTTGTACTATTAGGTAAAGAATCAGGTACTCTTAGCTGATCACCACAGCTAAGTAGAAATATAAAATTAAATGTTAACAGCAAGTTGTTTATTGAGATTCATTAAAATGCAAACGATGAAATGAAACCATTTTGACACAAAACTTAACTCCTAAGAGTCAAATATCAGCATCTTGTCCAGGTCTAGAAGAGGCAGGCACTTGGAGAGAGGAGGCTAAGCCCCCAAGCCTTCTGTATCTCCTTCACGTCCACTGTGGAATGAAAAACAGAAACCAAGACATACTTCTCCTTTGATGAAATAGCGCAATTTGCCTTGACACATTTTGTCTTAGTATTTTTTTTAATCTCACCCCAAATTCCAGCTTAAAATTTTCCCTTCTAAATATGGCACAATTATAGTTCAGCTATTAAAAGAGACCATTTAAATGGCTACCCTTTGAGATTTGCTGAAAATGTAATCTTGTCAATGACATAAATGAAAAGGAAAAAACTGATGAACTTTTTCTCTCTCTCCAGGAGTGGAGGGGGCCGGGGTACAGCTGTATAATGTATTTGTAATTTAGGAGGGAGGAAAGCCTTATTTATTTAAAACGTAAGAATTTTAAATGCAGGGAAATTCAAGCTGTGTCTACACACAATCTTACCCAATTCAATACCCTAGGAAAAACAAAAGCTGAATTTAGACAACCATGTCTTTTGCTTTGTTTTTCCTATATAACCCCCTCAGATTAATCCAACTGTGATTTCCATTTTCAACCAGTTATTTTTGGTACTGTGTAGACACACTCTCAAAGGATATTATTACATTTTTAATATTCCCACCATAATGGTTTTTTTGGACAAATAAACAGTGATCCTATTTGCTAACACCAAAGATAATTTTCATACCAGCATTGAATTTGCACCCATTATGCAATTTCAGGGCCTAGAGATATATTTTCTCATAAACAGATGCACAAATCAGAGCCTGAAAAGCAATTTTTTTACTTGACTGTTTAAGCATACTCACAACCTTTGCTTTTTAGAAATCCTAATGGACAAACTCAGCTTCTCACAAGCAATACAGGTGTTGCATCATGTATGACTGATTCTTTATTGCTTCTGACTTGGCACATAGAGAATGTTTCCACCCTTATTTAGTCCAGCATTAATTTATGGCTCAGGTTTCTTAACGTACCGCACTCAATGGAGAAGATCCCGTGCATTTGTTCACCCATCATTTCTCAATCCTTTAGCAAAATTCACCTGAAGAGATCTCACTCTTTTCTTTGTATGCTTGTTTATTCCAAAACTGCACTTCACAAAGCATGTTTTGGGTTTTTTTCAGTAGAATGGAAGTTAGACTGCTTTTGGCCATAAATCATTCAGGTCCTCTCACAACCAACCGGAAGCTTCCCTGAAAGGGGGCCAAGACAAAGAGTGGGAGGTGTGACATCTGGACCCCCCCCCCCAAAAGCCCAGACATCAGTAAATGTTCAGGTAAAAGAATTCTGCATGTCAGGAACTAAGTATTCCAGTCCCGGGATGCAGCTGGAATAGATAATCCCACCTAAACCAAAGAAACTGTGTGGGGAAATTTAGAAATTCTAACTGAACAAGTCACTCACTCTGCCCCCCCAAAAGCATAGTTAATTATGCAGGAAAAAAAGTAAAAGCGCTTTTGGACTCATGTCACTCCCATTGCTACCCCAGGTGAATGACCAGTCTTTGCAAGTTAAATGCAAACTTTGCTATACCAAAGAGTCCTAGGACATTTTCACATGAGCTATAAAGACATTTTCCCTAAGAAAGGTCCTCCCTTCTTTGTACATAAAGGATGAAAACTATGCATTTAGCAAACAAAGAGAAAGCACTTCTCCCTTTTCCTATCTAGTTGTTTAGGGTGCATTCAAACACCAGAGGCTGTTTTGAGACGCAATTGGCCTTCTGGATTATTCTTGTGGTGTGGTTAGCTTTACAGTACATTTGGTAACTATTTCCTAAATAGTAAGGACAACGAAGCAGAAGGTAAGAAATAGCTACTTCCACGTGTAAAAAAAAAAAAAAAAGTGTAAAGATCTACTATTTATAGTGTGAACCAAAGACGCTACCTCACTCGATTTCCATTGGTGATTTTAATCACATTGATGATACCAAAGAATACCAAAGATATTTTCATGCACGGCCTTGGTCTGCAGAGGGAACTCCGCCCCTTCCCCCCTCCCACCTCCTCTCCCCTCCTCACTCTTCACTCAGTGTGTAAACTTGTCTTCATTCTTAATAATAACGATACGATAATGATAACAACAACATTAGGAAAGACTACTCTTATTACTGCTAGTTCTACTTGTAAATCTCTAGGCAAACATGTTGCAAACTTTGTAAACTCCTAGGACGAGTGCCTTGCTTGAACCAAAGTGTTAAACCGCTGTTGACCTCTCTCACCTTATACTCTTTGAATACCTCAGCCTCTTAGAAAGGCCACTAATGAAAAAAAAAAGGAATAATTATTCACCGTGGTGCTTTTTCCGTGCAACCATGCAATGAAACTTTCTTTGATACCAAAGGATGACTTTCGTTTCCCAATTTCTTGCTGATAAACCAAAGCTCCTCCTCCTCCTTCCCTCTCGAAGTTCCCCCCCACTTCACCGAGACCCTCCACCAGGCAGGCCGTGCGTCACTTTTACCAATTCCTCCAAATACCTCATAGTAATAAAGTTTTAGGGTTATGTTGTATAGAGAGTCTATGTGATAAGGCAGAACTTACTAGTTTGATAATTGTTAAGGTTACTTTTAAAAAAAAACTTTATAATTCTTATTTATTTTGTAGTTTGTATGTTTGGGATGTCCCCCACCCCCACCCCCACCCCCTACTTCGGTTTGGGGTTTATTTTCTTGGCAGAACTGCTCTGTTGCTCAAGGAAGACTTAATTTCTGGAAATGTTCCCCAGGTGGGTTAAGGGTTGTGTAAAAAAAAATGCAAGAATGGAATAAGAAATGATTTTCGTTCTGATGGTTACTTATGAAGTTTTTGTGTTTCGTAGTAAATTTGTTTCCACAGGGTAAAAAAGTATATATAATCTCTTTTTTGTGAAACTGGTTCCTATTTTTCTCTGTAATGTGCTGTGATTTTTTTAATTTAAATTACATTTTATATGAGCTTATTTAATCACTGCATTAATTTATGACTGTGTAGTTTTTAAAGTGTATATAGTAGAATGGAAATGGCCAAAGCTTTATGTTACAATCTTTTTTGTTCTCGATGCTAAGACAAGCTGAAGGCAAGAGCTTCTCTTAACTGCAGGGTGTATCTTTAGCTTTTCTTAGCAGGCACTTCAATGTGTGTTGTGAACACTGCCAGGTTCCCCCCTCAAAAAATCTGTACATGCCAAAATGGGTGTTTCAAGATAGTCCTTTTTGTCAGAGAGAAGGCATTATTCGTGTTCTTCCTTTAATTTATTATGTGTTTTCTTTTTTAAAGAAAAGATTACTTTGCAGGTTAGACCTGAAATTCCGAAGAATTTAAGATTTGTTTAATGTTTCAAAGCACCGGCATTTGTGAGATAATTTACTCCTTTTTTTTTTTTTAAATCATTCGCCCGGGTATGAGAAGTAAAAAGCGTAAAAACTCAGAGACAAGCTAACTTGAATTTGGAAATCCTCTTAAGTTTCACCAAGTTTCTGAACTGCTTCAAGGCAGGGGATGGGGCACGGAGACATAGCTCCTTTTGCAGAGCTAAGGAAAGAGTCTCACAGTCTCATGACTTTACAGAGAAAGTCAAGGTGGAGGGGCAGCTGAGGGGCAGCTGCCCTTCTAGCCCACCCGTGGAAGAAGCAAAACCTGACTGCTGAGCCCCAATTAGCAATCAAGTTTAAGAAAAATATTTCAAATCTACATATTCCTCCCGTTTTCTCCCTGGAATCTACCACCCACAATTACCCCCTGCTTTCCCCAAACCCCTGACCCTGACCCAGACTGCAAGAATTCTCAAATGTCAGTGTCCCAGGGATGAATAAACTCCAGACCTATTTGGGTTTGTCTCCTCTCACTCGATCTTCCCACTAGTTTTCTTGTCCATGCTAAAGATGGTCCCTGCCGCAGGCCCCCTACGTGGAGGCTGTTCAGATTCTCAGCCCTGCTGCAGATCAGCACACACGCTGGATTCTCAGCCGACTAGCGGCATCTTCAGAAGACCCGGTGCCCACTCTTTTGCTTTTTTTGCAAAAATAACTTGCTTCAATTCCATGGCATAAATCCATAGATGTAAATACTTTTTCTTCCAATACAAGAATCTTACCTGACTTTATTTTGCAGGGGTGTTTGGGGTGGGGAAAGAAAGGGAGGGCTTAGACTTTGGGTCAAATGTTACATTTTCTTAGAAACATTTTTATACTCGTTATGTATTTTAATAGGGCAATAAATCTGCTCTGAGTTGCAGGATCATTCAGTGCTCTGTTGGTAAGCATTGACTAATTACTTGTTTTTAATACAAATGCTGTGCAGTGAGTTATAGAAAGCCCAGGAAAATGGTTGAGGCAGGAGACTTTTACCATCGGCAATGAAACGCTGAACAGAGTTGTATTCACAAGGTCCTATTTTCTGTCTCTGTGTTTCTTTTTGTGGTATGTTCTGCATTTATTACATAATCATTGTGGGCTCATTTTAGATTTGCCATCTGAACCAAGTGACAAGTATTTTTTAACAAAATAAACTGTAAAACATTGTCTTCCACTTGTTTGGGTAGTTGTGTTCGTATCTCCCTGTGTTTCTTGTCCCTTCGGAAGTCAGCCCACCTGTCACTCACTTAGACCTGTCCCTCCCCCTCTTCTATTTTCAGTCCACCTTTGACCTTAGCTATTGTTTGAGTGTGACTCAGTTTCCCTGTTCAAGTTAGCTTGATGGTTTATTATGTAAGGAGGGTGCCTAAGACAATCATCAGGTAAAAAAAAAAAAATTAAATTAAAAAAAGATCAGTAGAGTAGAAAATCTTCCAAGAGCAGAGGGAGTTCTTCCTTAGCAATGAAAAAAAAAAGGTAAATACGTAATTAATGCATTTTAAAACCTAACCATGAGGGGCTTAGAAGACTTTTGATAAAAGACAAATGTTGCTGTCATTTTCTTTGTCAATTAGAAAGCAGTGATAGTTTCTGTGTTGCATCTACATTTCAGACTAAATGATTATTGTACCCAGTTATGGTTGTTTGCTAATATTTTGTCTCTCTCTCTTTCTCTCTGTCCAATGCTTCTTCTGTATTTTTGTGTGTAGCAACAAAAAGTGTAATGCATTAGGCATTATCCTGGTTTGTTTATGAGTATCTCCTGTACTGCATTAAGGTTTCTTTCATTTTTTTTTTAAGCTTCGCTACTGTTCTCACTTTATGCCGTGCAATATCATCTGCTGTGTTTGCTAAGCAAAAAAGAAAAAAAGAAAAAAAAGCAAGTGATGATGCCATCATGCTTTTCAGTGTTAAAATGTTTCAGCATTTATGTAGTCACCAAAATGTAGTAAATAAAATGTTGGATTTTCCAGCACTTTAAATTTAGACAATTCTTGCCTTCTTTTGTTTTTATTCTCTCTGCAATCCCCAGTCAGTAGCTCGTGGGTTTTCTTTGGAGGAAGGGTGAAGCTGAGAGCACGAAAGGCTTGAGAAATCAAGCCAGTGGCACAATTTAAAGAAAGATTAATTAAGTGGGAAAAAAGAAAGAGGTATTCTCTAGTGGAGGAGGGCGTTGTTTATAAATGGAAGTGGGACATTCTATTTGTAGACGTGAGCCATTTATATGAACCTGATTGACACTCGGAAGAAACGAAATTTATTATTAGAGAGGATATCCTTTAAAAGTCCCCTCCAATGAAATAACTTGCACGCACGCGTGTGTGTGCGTATGCATGTGTGTGTTGTATGTGTGTGGAGCTCTGGGATGGCTGAGAAATTAGGATCTTCCTGTGTTTTGAGAAAGTATGGAGACTGATTAAGAGGCCTGGCTCGAGGAAAAGGGAAACTGGGTTTGGAATTCCTGCTGGGCTGAGTACTAGCTGGGGAATGAGATATCCATAACGGGCTCTGAAAATCTCTGAAATATTCCTGTGAATCTGCACATCTATGCACATCAGTGTGGGATAATGTCTTCTACTGAACGTCAAATTATGAACAGTAATCACATCCACCAAATACCTTCACAGCAACATCTAGGTTAGTGTTTGCCTAACTGGAGATCAGACACATAAAACTGACCATCGTAGGTGAGAACAGACCTATCGAGGAGCAAAGTTTTTACATGCTATTGAAATAAAGTTGGTATTAATCATCCTTGAGGCAGAGCTCAGCATAGCTCCCACCACCCCACTGAGAGACCCAAAGCTTACTTATGAGTATAATATGTGAAAGTATTCAGAGAAAAATGGGCATGATGTATATAACCTGTTCTCTGAAGGTTCAGGGGAAAAAATAATAATGTAAACATGTACACACAAAATGATAAAGCAAATGTAGCAAAATGTTAAACATTGTGGAGTCTGACTAATGGGTAGACAAGAATTCTTTATACTATTCTTGCAACTTTTCTGTAAGTTTATATGCCATTTTTTGGAGGGGGTTGTAGTTAGGTGTATTTATTTATTTTTAGAGCAGGTACTGGGGATTGAACCCAGGACCTTGTGGATGCTTACATGTGCTCTGCCACTTGAGCTATACCTTCCCTGCTATGTAAGTTTGAAATAATGTCAAAATAGAATATTTTCAAAAACCTGTCTACAGAAAGCTTTGGAGATAAACATTCATATTATCTTTATTAAAATTAACCCCAGACTGGAAATATGCCAAGTATCCAACAAAGGAGAATGGCTAACAAGCCATGGTATAACCACACAAAGGAACAGTGCTCAGCACTAGAAAAGACAAAATACAGATACAGCATTTTTGCTGAGTGAAAGAAACCATACACCTAAAAAAGAGCAAACTGCACGACTCCATTTATGTGAAGCACTAAAATAGGTAAAACTCGTCTTTGGTGATAGAAGTCATATCAGTGGTTACTTCTTGGGGTGTTGATTAGGGGAGGGGCACAAGAGAACTTTCTAGAGGGATAGAAATGTCCAGTTTCATGATGGGAGTGTGGGTTACAGGAGTGTATGCATTTGTCAAGACTGGTTAATCTGCACACTTAAAATCTGTGATTTTACTCTGTATAAATTATACCTCAACAAAATATGATAAAAATTGGACTAAAACATCCTCCTAGCTGACCTACACAGAGATATGCAAGCACAAATACAGATATTCAACAATATAGGTATATGGACTTGAACATATCTATGCATGTAACTACAAATGTACACACATGTATGCCACACTGTGCTATTTTCTTTCCTTATTGCATTAATGATACTGCATTTTAATTTCTTGTTGGCACCTCTATTTCTTCCACAAGTCTGTGAGCCTCTTGGGTCTTTTTCATCAGCACCAGCATGCTAACTGGTACATGTGAGCCTTTTAATACACTTTTGTGGGCTTAATTAAATCCACAGTGGCTACCCACAAACAACACACACACAGATGCACACACAAAAACACACAGTAGGCAGAAGTTGGGCGATATCGATCCCTCTTTTGGCTATTTTTGTCTCTATGATCTTCAACAAGTTTCTCAATGTGGTGCTTCTCAGACTAGTGAGCACACAAATCACCCAGGGTTCTGGTTAAAATGCATAGCCTAATTCAACGTCTGAGATTTAGAATTTCCACTCCAGGTGATAAAAACATTTGACTTCCTCCGCAGCCTGTGCCTGACTCAAGGATTGTCCCATCTGCTCTCAGTTCCATAGCATCTACGGATGCCATTTACAGCTGTGCCCACCAGTTGGGCTGGGAAGCCTTTTTCTTCATATAAAGTCTCTTTCCATCAGGCTGCAGCATTGGCCACATACACTTACATTTCCTCCTTATAAAGATGTTCGCTATAAAGAGAATAGAAAACAATCTAGTCTTCCCTCCAGCAGTGATTTTTAACAGGGGATGGTTTTGCTCCCCAGAGCAACACCAGCAAACCAAGCTCAGCAACATACAGAAAGGATGATGCACCATGATAGAGGGGGATTTATCTTAACAATGCAAGGTTGATTTGACTTCTGAATATAATTAATGTAATATACAACACTAATGTATCAAGGAAAAAAATCCACATGCTCATCTTAATAGATGCAGAAAAAGCACTTGACAAAATTCAACACCTTTTCAATAAATAAAAACTCTCAACAAAGCAGAAATAGAAGGGAACCTCTTCAACCTGATTAAACACATCTATGAAAAAAACTCATAACTAACATTATACTTAATAGCAAAAGAGTGAATGCTTTCCTCCTAAGATCAGGGATAATACAAGGATGTATCATCACTTCTATTCAGAATTGTACTGGAGGTTCTAGCCAGGGCAAATAGGCAAGAAAAAGAAATGAAAAGGCATCCAGACTGAAAAGGAAGAAGTAAAACTGTCTCTAGCACAGATGACATGATCTTGTATATTGAAAATCCTGAGATCTACAAAAACTTAATAGAACTAATAAGAAAATTCAGCAAGTTTGCAAGATACAAAATCATTATGCCAAAATCAATTGTATTTCTATACACTAGCAATGAACAATCTAAAAACGAAATTAAGAAAATTCCGTTTACATTAACATCAAAAAGAATAAAATACTTAGGAATAAAGTTAACAAAAGAAGTGCAAGACTTGTACACTGAAAACTGCAACATATCATTGAAAAAAATTAAATATAATCTAAGTAAATTCCAATATGATACACAAATGGTATGGCAGATAAGCACATGCAAAGATGGTCAGTACAATTAGTCATTGGGGAAATGCAGATCTAACCTACAAGGAAATACTACTTCATGCCCGCTAATATAGCTATAATAAAAGAGATAATAACAAGTATTGGCAAAGATATAGAGGAATTAGAAGCCTCATACATTACTGGTGGGAATGTAAAGAGGTACAGACTCTTTAGAAAATAATTTGGCAGTTCCTCAAATTGTTAACTCATGGAGTTACCGTTTGATCCAGCAATTCTACCAGTAGGTATATAGCCAGAAGAACTGAAAACATATGTTCACACAAAAGTCTGTACACTACGGTTTATAGCAGCATTAATCATAACAGCCAAAAAGTAGGAATAAGCCAGATGTTCATCAGCTGGATAAACGGATAAACAACGTGGAGTATGTCCATGTATTGAACTGCTATTCAGCTATAAAAAGATTGCAACACGGGTGAACTTTGGAAATACTATGCTAAGTGAAAGAAGCCAGTCACAAAAGGCCAAATATTGTATGATTCCACTTATATGAAATGTCCAGAATAGGCAAGTCCATAGGAAAAGAAAATAGATTAGTGGCTGCCAGTGCCTGAGGGAAAGAGGAAATGGGAGTGACTGCTAATGGGTCCGGGGTTTCTCTGGTGAGTGATTAAAATATTCTAGAATTAGTGGTGATGGTTGCACAATCTTGTAAATATACTAAAAACCACTGATCGCACATTTTATATGGGTAAATTTCATAGTATGTGAGTTATAGCTTAATACTGTTATTTTTTAAATAATGAGGCACGTCAAAGGGCACAGGAGCAGACTTCAAAGAGCCTCCGAAGGCCTCAGCTTGAAAAATTTGAACTACAAAATAAATAATGAGGGTATTGATTTGTAACCCACAGAATAAAATAAATATCAAGTCCAGAGTAACATAAATATATAACTAAATAAATAAATAAATGGGAGGAAGGGACAGTCCTCCTTTACAGTAGAATTCCGATTTTAAAATGGAGAGGTGGAAATCACCACTAGGCAAACACCTCAGTAACAGGTGTTTCAGGCAACAAACATTGACGAATGCTAAACTCAGAGGCAAAAGAATGATGAAAAATTGGATACGCACTGTCGGCTGAAATAAATGCCCAGCCTAA